TCTCTCCCCTGCGGATGCAGGACTGCCTAGTAGGTGCTGGTGGGCTCTTGGAGGATGTGCCATGGGCTCCCTGGGGAGCAGCCTCAGTACTTACAGGAAGAGATGTGTCACTGCATTGTTTAGGCAGCAGGTGGTTGCAGAGGTTTATTGAACGTTCCTGGGGTGTTGCTCTGTGTGTTGTGGACATCGAGACTAGGTGTGGCCAAGCCAGCCTGAGGGCAGGGGATGCTCTGCGGCGCCCTCAGTCCAGGTGCTGAGGGGCCCCTGGCACTTAAAAGGAGGTGCAGGCTCCTCATCCTGGTGTTAAAAAAGCGGGGCTGAGGCTCTCTGGGCTCCTTGCATGCAGGGCATGTCCTGGCCACGTATGCACTGCAAGTCTTAGCTCTTGATGAGCCTCCATTCCTCCAAGTCATCACTCTTTTCTCAGCTACCAGGCCACTCATCCTCCGTGAGGCTGTGCTGTCTAGTTTAATTAGCAGTAAAATTCCCTCCTGTTGATGGAAATGGGTCTAGTTTAAACACAGGTTATGCAGGAAGACACATGTGTGTGCATGTTCATCGCATGGCAAATCAGGACATTAAATGCAGCTGCAAGATACAAGGACGAGGACCATGGGTGGCTAGTGCTCCTTATTTACTCACTGAGGGCCTATGTGCTCCTAGGGACTCAGCGGAGACATTGGGAGGGAAAGTTTGCACCAATTACCAGCAACGGGAGTGCCTCAGTCACTGTGCGAGGGGGCCTGTGCCCCAGGAGTGCCCTGAGAGCAGCTGCTTTGCTCTGCTGTGGGCCTAGCGTCAGCATCTGGAGCACTCGGGTCCTGGGGGAAGCCGGAGTGAGGGGGCCATCCCTCCTTCCAGGCTCCTCCCATCATACACGGGATTGACCAACTGTGAGGACCTGTCCTCCTGGCATGTCCCCGACCCCCTGGTGTGTACCCGGACCTCTTGACATGTCCCTTGACCCTGTCTCTGTCTCCACAGTGTCAAGATGGTGCTCATGTGGACAAGCGGTGACACCTTCAAGACAGCCTACTTCCTGCTGAACAGCGCGCCCCTGCAGTTCTCCGTGTGCGGCCTGCTGCAGGTGCTGGTGGACCTGGCCATCCTGGGGCAGGCGTATGCCTTCGCCCGCAGGATGCCCGCACCCCATGTGGCGCACCCTGCCAGTGCCAAGGCTCTCTGAAGAGGCAGGAAACAGGACGTGTGACCCTGGCCATGGGTTCCGGCCGGCCCTGGCTTCCCTGCGTGGGGGTTGGGCACACGGGCCAGGCGGGTGTGGAGAGATGGTATCTGGGCAATGGGTCTCCATTCGTCTCTGCCTGGGGTTCTGGGGCAGGTGGGGCTGGGGCTGGGGTTTGTGTTACCACCTGAGGACAGCAGAGTGCATCTCACACTCTGAGGCCATGTGTCGGGTGTTTTTAAGGTGATGGAAAAACCAAGTGTTTTCTCCCACTTCCTCTCTAAAACATCTGGCTTGGACCTGAAATATGCTCATCAACCCGGGAGATGGCAACCTTAGGATTGCTGAAGGTGCGGGGCCCTTGGGAGCCTTCTCCGAGTCTCGGACCAGCCTCTCAGATCTGCCTCAGTGTGCAGGCTGGGCCCAAGGGGGCCTGCAGCCCACAGGCAGGACTCATGTGCCGGGCAGGTGAGTCTTGAGGCTGGGGATGTGGAGGTGAGAGGGAGATGTGGCGTCAGAAGCCCACCATGTCCTGTGAACAGAGCCTGTGGATTCCATGTGACCCCGACCAGACGCCCTAGATGGACTGGGCAGCCCAAAGTCAGGGTCAGGGTTTCTCTTCCCTGGTACATGTGGGAATGAGGCCTTGAGGATGCAGAGAGCCGACTGCCTCCTAGGGCTGGCCCTGCCACTGTCGTGCCCCACAGGGCCGAGACACCTGGGCGCTGCCCCTTCCTGGGAGATGCTGTATGGACTGTGCAGGGTGAGCTGTGCCTATGCCTGGCCAGCCTTGCCGGAGCGAGCTCAGGCATGTTCGAGTTAGAGCCAGTTCTCCTCGAGTCCAGAGGACACGGCAGGTGTGAGGAACCCCAGACCTTGTGGCATGTGGCAAGGCTGAGGGGGTGGGTTCAAGGCTGTGCAGATGCAGCCTGGCTACCTCCTGGAGGAGGCTCCGCTTGTGAAGATTCCCCGAATTCTGTGTGTCATGCACACAGGCCAGACACATCCCGATCTCTTTTCCAGGACAGAGGCCAGCTTCAGGTCAGGGGTGGGGATGCTGAGGGCAGGCGTCCTTTTAGCGTGCAGGGTCCTGGCTGCTGGGACACACTCTCTGTTGCCGCTGCCCTGGGTGCCCTGCCATTCTCTGTCCACCCAGAGTGATGGGTCCACAGCTCCACTCTGGCTGCGTCTGGCTGTGGTGGAAGCCACTGACTGACATTCTCTTCCCATATTCTGCCCCCACCCTGCCCCTTTCAGTTGAATATGAGGTCATGCCGGGCTCAGCCCTGTGCTGACTCCAGCCAGCTCCCAGGCCCAGTGTTCTAGATGCTTCTGTGTGCCCCCACGGGCACCCTCTTCCCTTCTGCTGGCGGAGGGGCTGTGCCGATGCTGCCCACGCTTAGCACCAAAGCTCGACGACAGTGTTTTTGCTGTGGCTGCTGGGAATCATTCAAAGCGGTTTCCTCCTCCTGAGTTTTCCTCAGAAAAACTCTTCAATGTGGTGAGTGAGGACCTCATTTAGCTCACTCAAGCTACTTTGAAAATGTTTATTTTTTTTAAATGAAGTGAGATGTCAGTAGCAGTAATTGCCTCCAAATTAAAACACCACTGGTTGCAGGCATGGTGACTGGTGAACGAATGTACCCCCACATGGCGGCTTTGAATCAATAAACTATTTGAGGATACAGTGTGGCCTGTGAATGGAGTTGGGGCAGGGGCCCCAGTCCTGAGGGCCCAGGAAGGGTGGCCCAGGTGCTGGCCTCTGCCCAGGCACACCCATGTCCCCTGGGCCACCCTGGAAGCTGGCCCTTCCCCAGGGTGTGGCTGGGGCCCTTGTGGCCTGGGTTGCTTCCCCAGGCCTCCTCCAAAGGATAGTCGCTTAGGATGATGGCCGCCGCATGCCAGGGTCTGGGCCGGCTCTGAGGCTTCAGGCTCAGTGGCAGGATGGGAAGTGTCCCTTTAAAGGCCAAGAGCAGAGTTTCCAGAGACTTGTGATCACAAGATTGGGAGTGCAGCACAGGGGGATGAGTGCAGCACAGGGGGATGGAGCAGTTTTATCTTTTCGAGCAGAGCATTTACATTGGGGGCAATGTGTAAGCTTCTCATGCAAAAAAACATCTGAGACTCACTTTTCCCCAGACCCGAAGTCCGTGAGTTTCTGTGGCCCTCCCTCTCAAGGAGGACAGTGCTTTGGAACACGTGGTGATGCCACCTGGGCGGGCAGCAGCTCAGAGCTGAGTCTCTCGACACTGGAGCAGACGGGAGCTGTGCAGGCTGGACAAGCGCATGGGCCAGCTGCCTCCGCCTCCTGGCGCCTGGCAGCACTGACAGCTGAGCATGTCTAGTCCTGGAGCTGCCCTGTTAGTCTCAGCAGACCCCAGAAGCACCTCAGGGTGGGCGGGTACAGGTCAGCGTGGATGGGGGCGTGTGGGTGCCAGTTGGGTTTGCATGAAGGGCCGTTCCAGCAGCTCTGCAGGCGGGCTTGGGGCTTGGTGGTTAAGGCCAGCAGATTCCTGGAATGTCTCACACAAATCACCCTCCTCAAAAATCGCCCTCTGCAAATGCTGAGGGGAAGCAGAGATCTGAGATGAGGCATTTTTAGGATGTGAAGCCAAAAGGGTTTTAGGGTCCACTCTGGTTTTAACAGTAAGAAAACTGAGGCACAGAGACTCCCCTGGCACAGTCGTGTAGCCTCTGCTTGGATGGCCCTCTGCTTGGATCGCCCCGGGAGTTCATTGACTGGGGCGATTGTGACCCCGGCTGCCACAGCTCTCCGTGACCACATGTTTGGCGATGAGAGGTTGGCTGGAGCCTGCTTCCTTAGCAGGAGATGGAAACAGGTCTCAGCACAGCACTTGAGTGGAGACGGTGCTGGAGTGAGCAGGACTGAAGCCATGTTGGGACCTAAAATCGAATGGGCTATATGCAAACTTTAAAAGGACACAACTTTTTTCTTGGCATGCGTTTCTCTGAGTTCTCTCTTTTCCCATGGTTACTTGATATTTCTAACTTTGGTTATGGGGCAAGAGGACATTATTTACATGAACGTAAAGTTGTTTTCCAGCCAGCCTGGAGCTGCAGACTCGCATCTACTACCCAGACCCTGAGATAAGGATGGGAGGAGAAACCAGGCAAGTCTTGCAGAGACCTTGCACCTGAGACCTTGCATGAAACCCTCGCTGCTCACGGGCCCCTCCCTCCTGCTTTTCAGCTCCCACATTCCATTTCCTCAGACCCTCTTGTAAAAGCCCCGAGTAAATCTGAGTCTGGGAGATGGCTTTAGTCTGGCCATTCTCCTTCAGGTTTATCGGAGAGATATGTCAGCCAACGTCTCTCCTCAGGTCACTGGTGTTCCTGAATAAAAGCTGACTTCCATTTTCAACATTTGACTTTTTAGCGGTTTATTTTTGAAAGGGGGCAGGCAGCCGGACCTGTGCCTGGTGACAACCGTAGCTGTATTTCTAAACCAAGCCCCTGCGATACTCTTTGGTCATTTTCAACAATGGACACTGAGGAAGCAGCTGATTTAATGCCATGTCCTGCCAGGGTCCCATGACAGGTGCTTCCAGTGTGGATTTCAGCAGTGTGTGAGGGAGCTGGGGGGATCCAGGGGAGCTCACGTCCACCTCACCCCAATGGGGAAACAGGCCACAGTTAGCAGAGGCTGCCCTGAGCCCAGCCCGGCATCCGTCCTGGAGGCCTGTGTGGGAGGGTGTCCCACCTGGGTCTGCAGAGGGAAAAGGGAGCCCAGGGACTGGGGAGTCTGTTTGCTCAGTAGGAAGTGTGCCCCCCACTCTCCTGTTCTCAACAGAACTGACACCCCACATCCCAGTGACCCAACGTGGCCTCTGCTGTTCTGGTTGTCCCTGGCCAGAACCACTTCAACCCAGGATAGGGAGGGCGAGGCCCGAGACCTTCCTGTCACTCCCCACCACTTACCTGGTCTTCTCCGAGGGACAACTTGGACTTATTTCTGGGGGTGGAGGTCATCAGCACCGTGGGTGATCCCTGGGCTGTCCTTCAGCCCAGGTCTGTTAGCCGTTACCGAACTCATTCCTGAGCAAGACCCAAGGCTGTCACTGTGGGAGGCAGCCCTCTGTGGGTGCTTGGGGTCTGAGGACCCACCCTGTGTTGAGGGGCACAAGGGGGCATCAGCTGACCTGGCACAGCAAGCGGAGGCAGGTCTGCACCCAGGCTGCTCTCAGGTGCCACCTGCTGCCACCAACCTCGAGGACGGTGCCAGAGCTTTTGTGCAGGTGGACTCACCTGGTCCCTGCATTTCCCGTGCTCTTTCTCCAGACCTGTGTTCCTTACAGATCCCATCCCTGTTGGTGTTGGCTTGGCATGTGTGTGGGCCCAGTAGGGAAGGAGAAGGGGCCCCTGCCCCAGGGGGCACAGGAAACAGGGGCAAGTGCTCACCCGTGCCAAGGAGAGGTGGCAAGTGGAGCCCCACAGTCCTCGCCCTTCAGCCTGGCTCGGGGGGGGGTGGGTTTCAGGCCAGGGACAACAGGGTGGCACATCTGGCCTGGTCCATCTTGGACAGCTGGTTCCCTGCCCAAAACAAAAGCGTCCATCTGCACAAAGGGCTGATGAGGAAGTGAGTGGGCTGCAGAGTGGAGTGGGGGAGGCTCCGGGTGGACTGGCCTTCCGTTCACTCGGACCCTGGAGGAATGCTTCCTGGTCCCAGTGAGACCAAGTTATCTCAGTTTCCCTGCATCCAAGAGCCCTTGTCGAGTTCCTGGATGGACAGACACAGTGGCTGGAGCCCAGGAATCTATGCCCATGCCGAGGTATTACTGGGGGGAAGGAGGAAGATGAGTGGGGAACGGAGGCTGCATCATGGTGACCCACCCCGCGCCCCTGCAGAACCCAGCTGTGGCGTGAGAATCCCAGCCCATCCCAGCCCTGGATTCTGTTCTTAGCCTAGCACCGAGAACACGCAGCCCTGCCCTTGGGGGAAGGAAGCCAGTGTGAGGCTGGGCTTCTTGTGCAGACGTAGATGAGGGACTCAGGCTTGCTGCTGTGCACACCAGGCTTTGGGTGCAGGACATCTTTGTGGTCAGAAGTGCCCTGGTGGGTCCTGCTCCCCCATGATCACAGACCCTGCAGACCACAGGCGACACCCGAGAGGAACTCAGCAGAGAGCTGTGTGGGAGAGGCCAGCACTTTTTATTGGGTTGCAGAAGAATCTTGGGAAATGCCTGCAGCAGCAAGGGCCCCACACACCTCTCCCTTCTCCTGCCTCTGCCCCACACTAGGGCTGTGCAGACAGTGGGACCCTGCAGGTGACGCAGGTCCTCCTCCTGTGGTCTGGGGCTGTGGGCCTCAGGTGTTGTGGCTGAGCTCATCAAAATGAAAAAGTACAAAGCAGCATGATTCAGAAAGTTCCATGCCTCCTATCTCCTCCCTGAACCCCCTCCTCCTGTGGCCAGGTATGGAGGGTGGAGGGTTCTTTCTTCCATTTGAGTCTTAGGGAAATGTTCCTATAGGGAGATAAGGCGTCCCAGAGCAGGAAGGACACGTCCCACAGGCCAGCTGGAAGAGCAGGGACAAGGTTAAAATGCCCAAATGCAAACCGTGAGCTTTGCAACTGGCACTATCCGGAGTGAAGGTATCAGCAGACCTTGTCCACCTTCCCCCAAGTCAATCCATGAAGATCCCTAAGAAGCTAGTGTCAAAGAATGGAGGTCAGAGGTCAGAGGTCAGGGCTGAAAACTCCCTCCCCCCAAGGGCAGTCCCTTGGGCAGAACTGGGGGCTCTGAGCGTCAAACCTCTGTCCTTGTTGCCTGGCAAAGTCTGGTGCCTCCGGAAGGCCTCCCTCCCAGGGGGGCGTTGCCCGTCGTGGTGACACGGCTCCCCTCCCCACTCGTGCCTGGGGCTGAAGAGCAGGGCAGGTCGGGGTGAGCCTGGGCCAAGTGCGGCCTTCTGGCGTTGCTACAGCCTTCGGATTTCTGGGGCTTCCTTTTCAGACAGCCGTAGAAAATGAAAGTCCCAAGGAAAGTAACAGGCAGGAGGGGAGGACGGTGGCCTCTCGGCTCCACTGCGGGAGGCGAGGGCCGCGCTCTGGGGCTGCGCTGGTCCGAGCGACATGCACGCAGCGGACTGAGGTCGCAGCATCGGGTGCCGGGCTCCCCGCGGCGCCCCGGGAGGCTCCGACCGTCCTACAGCGCGAGGCGGGCGCTCCCGGCCGGGCCGTCGCCGGCGGGG